GAATGGGTGCTGTATGGGGTCACTGGGGGGCCTATGGGATCAGTGGGTGCCCTATGGGGGAATGGGTGCCATATGGGGTCACTGGGTGCCCTATGGGGAAATGGGTGCTGTATGGGGTCAGTGGGTGCCCTATGGGGTCAGTGGGTGTCCTGGGGGGGGATGGGTGCCGTATGGGGTCAGTGGGTGCCCTATGGGGAAATGGGTGTCTTGTGGGGTCAGTGGGTGCCCTATGGGGAAATGGGTGCTGTATGGGGTCAGTGGGTGCCCTATGGGATCAGTGGGAGCCCCACGGAAGCAGCGGGTGCCCTGTGGTGTCAGTGGGGATCAGTGGCTGCCCCATGGGATGGATGGGTGCCCTGTGGTGTCAGTGGGTGCCCCGTGGGATGGATGGGTTCCCCATGGATTCAATGGGTGCCCCGTGGATTCAATGGGTGCCCCGTGGTGTCAGTGGCTGCCCCATGGAGTCAATGGGAGCCCCATGGGATGGATGGGTGCCCCATGGATTCAATGGGTGCCCTATGGGACCAGTGGGTGCCCCATGGAGTCAATGGGTGCCCTATGGGATGGATGGGTTCCCTATGGGATCAGTGGGTGCCCCACGGATTCAATGGGTGCCCCATGGGATGGATGGGTGCCCCATGGATTCAATGGGTGCCCTATGGGATCAGTGGGTGCCCCATGGATTCACTGGGAGCCCCGTGGGATGGATGGGTGCCCCGTGGAGTCAATGGGAGCCCCGTGGATTCAATGGGTGCCCCACGGATTCACTGGGAGCCCGGCGGCAGCGTCTCCCCGCCTCCCCCCGCAGCTCCCGGCTGCGGCAGCGCCAGGCCGAGGTTTGGCGGCGGTACGCGGCGCTGCAGGAGCTGTGGGAGCAGCGGCGCGGGCGGCTGCAGGAGCAGCAGCGGCTGTGGCAGCTGCGCAGGGAGCTGGACGACGTGGAGCAGTGGGTGATGGAGCGCGAGGTGGTGGCGGCGGCGCACGAGATGGGGCAGGACTACGAGCACGTCACGGTGCGGCGCTGCCCCACGGCGCTGCCCCACAGCGCTGCCCCATAGAGCTGTCCCATAGAGCTGTCCCATAGCGCTGCCCCACGGCGCTGCCCCATAGAGCTGCCCCATAGCGCTGTCCCATAACATCCCT